TCGCAGTGGTTGCCAAGTGCCTTGAACTAACGGCTGGGCATTGTCCTTCCACCTCGCAGGGTGTTGGTATGGCCAGCCCCCGGCCTCCCAAATACCTCCTCGTCTTCGATTTCGACGAGACCATCATCAACGAGAACAGCGATGAGTCCATCGTGCGGGCGGCGCCGGGGCAGGCGCTGCCGGAGCACATCCGCCAGACCTTCCGCGAGGGCTTCTACAACGAGTACATGCAGCGCGTCCTGGCGTACATGGGGGACCAGGGAGTCAAGATGGGGGACTTCAAGACAGTCTATGAGAACATCCCCCTGTCTCCCGGCATGCCGGACCTCTTCCAGTTCCTCTCGAAGAACCATGAGCTCTTTGAGATCATCCTCATCTCCGATGCCAACATGTTCGGCATCGAAAGCAACCTGAGGGCAGCCGGTTTCTACTCCCTCTTCCGCAAGATCTTCAGCAACCCATCCAGCTTTGACAAGAGGGGGTACTTGACCTTGGGGCCCTACCACAGCCACAAGTGCCTTGACTGCCCGGCCAACATGTGCAAACGCAAAATCCTAACGGAGTACCTGGCAGAGAGAGCCCAGGAGGAGGTGGAGTTCGAGAGGGTCTTCTACGTGGGAGATGGCGCCAATGACTTCTGCCCTTCCATGACTTTGACTTCAGCCGACGTGGCTTTCCCACGGAAGGGCTACCCCATGCACCGAATGACCCAAGAGATGGAGAAGAAGCAGCCTGGAGCCTTCCAGGCCACTGTTGTCCCCTGGGAGTCAGCTGTAGAAGTCACCCACTATCTCCAGGAGATCCTCAAGAAGAAGTGTTGAGGATGGCCTCGGAAGAGACTTGCTTAATATAAGCAGCTGGGAAAGGAGATGCTTGGGGGGGTTCACGTCCTGCACCCCACGCTCATCGGCACTGCTCGCTCAGCCCCAGCTCCTGGGTTGCTTTCCTGCCTTTCCTCTCCGAGCACCTTTCTCCCTGGTAATTAAAGCACTTTCTCTACGTCCCCCCTTCTCCTTCCTGCCATGTTGAGATGAAGCCTTCTCTATGCAGCTCGGACATCTGCCCAGCGTGGGTGTTTGGCAACACTAATGGTGATTTTTGTTGTTGTTGTTGTTTTTGTGTTTTTTCTTTCTCTTTTGACTTCACAAGAGCAATTCCTAAAAGACCAGACTCCTGCTCCCCAAGGGCTGGGTCCTGCACATGCCTCCTCCTGCCTTCATCCCCCTCGCCTGCCCGACCTCCGCCGGCCGTGCCAGGAGCTGCGTGCTGTTGCCTTGAACCTCTTTGGGAGGCCACTGGAAATTTAATCCGGGAAATCCACACTGCCCGGTTTGCCCTCTGCACCCGGCCTGGGCAGGGCAGCCCCTGGCTCAGCTGCTGAGCTGTGCCATGGAGTTAATCGTCCCTTGAGACTTTGTTCTCTGAAAAAAAAAAACACAATGTGAGGGACAGGAAATCTTTTGGAAAGGTGGTACCTCGGAAAAAAAAACTGTAATGCCCATCCTCGCTTGCCCAGGGCACGGGCACAGCGACCGTGTCCCTCTGTGAGGAGGAGGACCTGCCTTTGCCTTCCACCTCCAGCCTCTGCTCCAGCTTCCAGGGCAAAGCATCCCCCGTGTCCCGGGGATGGACAGGTTCCTCCTCACCCCGAGCCATCACCACTCATCTCCTCATGTTTGCTGGATCGTACCCACTCCTCCGCACCCAGGGCTCGATTTCCCTCCTGACCTGGTCGAGAGGTGCTGAGCCTTCCCCATGGGAGGTTTGGTGCTGTAGCACCTTCCGGCATTGGGTCCCTGGAGGCCAAACCCCCCCACCATGCCCCCTTGCATTATTAATTGCCCCTTCTAATTGCACTCTGCAGCGGTGGGGGGGACCTACAGTATTTGCTGCTCTCTGGTGTTGGCTTCTCCTGGATTTATCCACAGCCTTACCGGCCCCCGAGGGTGGCTCCTAACTCCTCCGACACGTAGAAACCCTGACAGCAAACCTGAGCAGGGAGGGAGTAACCAAAGCAGCCCCGAGTTGTTCCTCCTTTATTTCATTTCACCCCTCTTTGTTCTTCCTCCTCCAGACCCTGTTCGACTGTGTGGAACTTAAAGCCATGGAATTAAAAAGCAAAATACATATATATGTATATAGATAGATATCTATATATTGCAGATACGCCAGTTGTTTGTATCCAGGGCATAAACCTGGGTGTGAAACAGCTCCGAGTTGCACGTCCGTGTTGTTTCTCTTCCTTGGGCTGGGGAAGGGGGGGGACGGTGTTGGTGGGGGAGCAGCAGAGTGGGGCCGGGCTATGAGGGCTGCTCTGTGGGGGACCCTGAGGGCACCCGTTTGGGGCAGGATTAGGCCCTGGCATGTCCTACTACAGCAGGTAGTTCCCTGGGGACACGGCCGGGTGCTGCTCTCGATCTCCCATAGCTTCCATGCTGTGCCAGCATTGCTCCTGCCACGGCGCCAGGA